AACACTTTGTCCATGAGACTTTGAAAGGTGGCTGGTGCATTCGTGAGACCGAAGGGCATGACGGTAAACTCGTACAGCCCATCGCGAGTTTTGAATGCGGTTTTGTGCTGGTCTGCAGGATCGACTTCAATCTAGTGGTAGCCAGACTTGAGATCGATCTTGCTGAAGACTTTGCAACCACCTGCAGCATCAAGCAGATCATCGATACGTGGCAAAGGGTATGCATTCTTTCTTGTGATTCTATTCAATCCACGGTAGTCAATACACATCCGCAGTTTGCCTCCCTTCTTAGGGACAAACAGCACCGGTGCACCAAACTCAGACTCACTGGGTTTGATCCACCCCTTCCCAATCATCTCATCAATCTGCCTTCGCAACTCCTCCAATTCGCCTGAGCCCATTCGATAGACACAACCTTTTGGAGGAGTGCTACCTTCAATCAACTCGACCTTGTGTCGGACCGGACGCACGGGAACTCCATGCGGTTCGGCCAAGACTTCAGGAAATCGGTTGAGAAGGTTGCGAATTTCCGGCGGAAATTCCGGAGGGGGATCATCACTCTCAGGAGCAAGCATATCAGATGTCATAGGTGCAGCCAATACGACAGGGTTAGAGGTAGAGTCATTTGGACTAGAGGTAGTTTTAGTAGAGGTAGAAGTAGTTGCATCCGAGGTGGAAACAACATGCAAAGTAGAATCATTGTATGCAACAAAAATTGAAGGCACATGAGCAGGCCTAACAAAGGCTATATACATTTGCTCATCAGTTTTGCGCCTGCGCCACTTTTTGCAGAACCGCATTGCATTGAGAAAGGCTACTTGGGACTCGCGCGGCTCATCCAAGAGGACTGGACGCTCGATTCCCATGGCATCTTTGACCATGAATTGTGAGTCCTTCCATGTGGTTCTTTCACATTGGGCCTGCAACCATCCCAAGCCAATAACCGCGTCGAAGGGACACTGATCAAGGACATAGAAGTTCAACTCATGCGTGATTGTGCGGTCAGCGTCAAAGGTAGTGCGCACACCTTTGACTGCATGCGTAGATGTGACAACCTCTTGGTTGCCTACTTGGGTCCGACAAGGATTCTGCAAAGTCACTTGCTTCATCCCCAAGCGTGCCTTACGAATGCCGTGCGGTGAGAAGTAGTTGGCGGTTGCACCACAATCAGCCAACGCACGGATGTAACGGCCATTAATGTAGAGTTTGAAGAAGATCAACTTCGTTCTCCCTTGCGCGCGTTCTTGCTTCATGTGAGCCCAGCGCGTCAACAGAGAATGGTAGTCAATTTCTTCCGACTCTTCCCAAGGCTCCTTGTATAGGATGTGGATCTTTTCAGCCTTGGAATCAGCATCGGATGGGGTTTCAGGAGAGGTTTGCTGAGTGGGATCAGAATCCAAAGAAGAATTTGTACTTACATGTTCAGCCTCTCCATCCGTAGAGTGTGTTGATGATGCCTCTACCCCCGTTGCTGGTTTCCCTGCTGCAATCTGAAACAGTGTTGGACTGAATGTCCCGGTTTGGTGCAATGCAAGCAAACCCCTCTCTTTACCCTGTTCTTCCACTCACTTTCACTGATCCGGAGATCTACCCATGGTTTTGTGGCAGGATCTTCCGGTTTGGGTGGAATCTTCGCTCCCTTGGGAAGAAGGATAGTGTTAGTGTTGTTCTTCATCATGGTTTTCGGTCCCTTACTTTTAAAGGCAGGAGGAACTTCTTCCTCCCAGCAGTGCTGTAGTGCCCAGCGCTACTCCAGCCAGCGCTCCAGCAGCGTGACGCCCAACTCGCACACTGAAGAATGAGGCTGGGCTCTCCGCCCTGCCTCTTGATATCGCGGCCTACTTGCCTCCTGGGCGGTGACTTCCAGGCCGCACGGCCTCTCCAAGCAACCGGTACCTCTTCCGTTTCGGAGGGAAACATCATTGCAGACCCTGATATTACCCTTGCAGGCTCTAGACTCAGACTGGTTGGACTGGTACCGGCCTAGACCTACCCTACCGCTACTGGACTCTAAAAATGCCAACTTTGTCTTTTTCTGCTCGGCCTCCAGTACCCCCTCACACCAACTGCAGTGGGGTGCAGTATCGGCCTACCGGCCTACTTGAGTGTTTTTCCGCTACCCCAAGGGCCTCAGGGCCGCTAGCTTCGCCACTTGAGTGTTTTTCCCTGCTACAACCCTCGATGCCACGGCCACATGTAAGTACCGGCCCTACGGGCCTACCAAACAAGCAAGTACCCTTGCGGGTTCCACACACAGGCATGCAGGTCACAAGCACGCACACACACACAGACTTAGAAACACAGCAGTTTGCGGGAATCTCAGCAAGGCATCCATTCCATCGGCAGAACTTCAGAAATCAGCAGTGTTCTCAGTCTGTGTTTTGACGAGTCATTACAATATTTATTTGGTGCAATTGTGACTTACCTAGATGCTGGCGCCGATCTGCAGCAAAAGATCAAGGCTGCCTACGCTGATGATCCAGTGTATAGCACGTTGATAAAGAAGGTACAGCACACCTCAAGAAGTGCCTGATTTCAGAATGGCGGATGAATTGCTGTTTGAGAAGACTGATGTGCATGATAGGCTTTGCATACTGTACATCCAAGGCGGCCAATTATGTCAGAGGAACACGAGTTCTACGCAGCCTCCCTTTGGACTGTTGAAGCCACTGCCTATCCCATCTGGCCCCAGTGAATCTATATCTATCGATTTCATGGACACTAAGGTCAAGAGTAATAGTGGGAAGAGCCAGGTCAGGGTCATAGTTGACAAGTTTAGTAAGTTTGCTGTTTTTGTACCACTACCTGCTGAAGCGAAGACAAATCTGGTCATCAAAGAGTTCTTTAACCACTGGGTCAAGGATAACGGTCACCCGTTGAGTATTGTTAGTGACCAAGACACACGGGTCACAGGGGAACAATGGCAGCAGCTAATGACGGTCTACGGATCTAAGTTAGCTATGTCATCTGGACGCCATCCTGAGACAAATGGCCAGACCGAGCAGATGAATAAGATTCTACAACAGGTATTGTATATGTACAGTAGACCAGACCAGGTAGATTGGGACGAGCATCTTCCCGAAGTAGCTAGTGCGTATAACAATTCGGTTCACCTAGCTACCTCACGGACCCCGAATGAGCTGCATAGAGGCTGGAGTCCCCGACGTCCCATAGACTGTTTGAATCCAGATCAGATCCAAAGGTTGCCACCTAGGACACGTGAGTTTGCCATTCAGTATGAGAAGGATTTGCAATGTGTGGCTGAGAACATCCGGAAGGCCCAGCATCAGATGATGGAACAGGCGAACAAACACTGTTGTCCGTCACATTCACCATAGGTCACCTCTGGGTCAAGTCTAAAGAGTTTATCCCCGAGGAAGGTATTTCACAGAAGCTGCTACCTGCCTACAGAGGGTCGTGGCAAATGCTAGATGCCAAAGGTGATGCAGATGGACCGTCATACACCATCGAGATTCCACCCCATTTGCACACCCCTATCCTGTTTTTCACGCTTCTAAGCTCCATCGCTGTGTTACTGATGATGCTTTTCCCTCACGCAGATCTATGATTCCACCTGATGTGGACGAAAGATATGATGTAGAGAAAGTTGTTGTTGAGGATACCTTCCGTACAGATCGTCGAGGGAGACCGCAGAGACAATACAAGGTCAGATTCGATTACCAGGATCCCAGCGAAGATCGCTGGTTCACCAGGGATGAGTTAGTTCAAACAGCCCAACATATAGTGTCATTCGACGAGCGGGCACGGAGAGGGTTGAATTCTATGATCGTTCAAATGCTGATTTTTCTCGGAGGGCCTCAAAATTAGGTCGGCAGGAGTGAATGAATTCACACTGCAAGCTTTCCCAGTCCCGTTTACAGGGTCCTGAATTATCCCAGTCCAAGGCCCCGTAGATTACAACCTTAGGGCCTGTAGGATCAGGCGCCGCAGGCCAGTAGTCTACAGTACCATACAGCACCTGTAGGAGCACGTCAAGTCCCCCAAAGTCCAGTTTTGCAGCAGCCTCACCAGAAAGTCGGGAACTTTCCCAAAATAGCAACTTGGCAAGGCAGAGGCCGAAGGAGGCCAGTACCGATTGAAGCAGGCACGCACAGCCCACTGCAGCTATATATTTTGGGCTACGGTGTCGGAGGACAGTTAGTTGTTCATTTCGCAAATTTGTGGAAGTGCTCCTGGAGCTTGTGCAGTCTAGCGACCTGGAGGAAGAAGAATGCTGAAGGGAGGAAGAAGACCAGCGCCCTGGCTGCAACAGACCACCATAGCCAGGAGGGAGGCGACAAAGTGTTTGGCGGCCATAGCCGCCCGTTTGCTGCGAGACACACCGCAGAGGCATTCAGGGCAGGTCTGGGACATTGTGGAGGGAGGAACAGTAGTGGCGAGCATCGAGGGATGAACAGTACAGAGAGAGAGAGAGAGAGAGAGAGAGAGAGAGAGAGAGAGAGAGAGAGAGAGAGAGAGAGAGAGAGAGAAACTGGGAAGAAGAGATCAGATTGAAAGGGGAAGAGTCGGGTACTTACAGGAGGTGTGTCCTGGCAGTGCAGACCGCTCAATCTCAAACTTTTTCAATTGTATATTATTGGACCTTGAGTGGAACTTTGAATTTGCACTGTTCATGGCCATAGCTCAAGCTTGTGTGAGCTTTATCTGAATGCTCTCCATTTGCATGTTGTATTTTTGAGTTGAATTTTCTGAGGTTCATTGCATGTTGCCTATCTATACCTTATTTTGTTTCGTGGATGGTTTGTGGACGGAATGAGAAAGAGAGAGTTGGGGTTCTTTGAAAACGCATACTCATTTGTGAGTATGTAGCTGGTTGACAATCTGAAAGACAATCACTTGTATGGAGTTTTCTGTTTCTCATTCTGGCAATTGACGAGTGGATTTCGGGTTTCTGTTGTTCATGCTGGCTCGTGGTTACAACTGGCACGGCTGCTGTTTCCTTGTGTCTTCTTGGGGATTCTCTTTGTTGCTGCCACCAGGCCGGAATCCCAGCAGAGAATTGTGGAGGTAGTTGACAGTTGGGGCTAATTAATTACTTGCAGGCAGTGGAGGTTTATTAATTTTACTTAGCAGTGAAGGAAGGAAGGAAGGAAAGCTCGCATGCCCTCTGTGAGAACAAGATGGTCGATTTGTTCCAATGACTGAAGGAAGTAAGGAAGGGAGGGAAGGAGGGAGGGAGGAATTCGAGGGCCCATAAAGGCTTCTTCGAAGAAGGACGAAGGGGAAAATGGATGTTTGATGTTAGGATGGACAGACTGGCGCACGGGAAGGAAGGAAGGAGGAAAGTTGCATGCTCTTTACGAGAAGAAGACGGTTGATTTCTTCCAATGACTGAAGGAAGGAAGGAAGGAAGGAAGGACAAGGAAGGAAGGATGGGAGGATGGGTGGATGGGTGGATGGGTGAATGGGTGAATGGGTGGATGGGAGGATGGGAACATGGGAAGAAGGTAGTGGATGGGAACATGGGAAGAAGGTAGTCGAGCAACATCCAGTCAGGCTTTCGACCAGTCAATTACCTTACCGATTTGTTTGTTGGACTTTGCTGAAGTTTGTTCCAATTTATGAAAATATAGGGGAGAGGAAGAAAAAACGAGATTACATCTGCTGTTGCTTCATTCCAGGAGCAAAATGTGACGGGGCAGGCGTAGTGTGGCTCAGCAAGTCGCACTATTTTTTCAATCAATTGAATTAGCTAATTTAGTTTATCAAATTATTGATTTTGATTTATCTTTCTGTATATATTTGAGAATTTTTGAACCTGTTGGGTAAGCAATGGATATACCTGAGTCGGAAATATGTGCAACTGTTCGGTTTGTGGCTCTGGTTTGAAAACGTCATTTGAGGTAGAGTTGACTTGGGAGGAAGAGAGAGGGGGGAGAGAGAGAGGGTGTGATGGCAAGACAAGATGACGAGAAGATGCCAAGACTGTTCTGTGGAGTCTGGACTTGGTTTTGTGATTGAGATCCTCTTTCTTTTTATTTCAAGCCAAGCTCAATGCATTCGTTTGTGAAATATTCTCTCTCTCTCTCTCTCTCTCTCTCTCTCTCTCTCTCTCTCTCTCTCTCTCTCTCTCTCTCTCTCTCTCTCTCTCTCTCTCTCCGAGTACTAGTTGTAGTAGTAATAGTAGTAGTAGTATCTCTCACTGTCAAGACACCTTCTTGTCTTCCGTTTCTTTTTTTCAACAGGATCCTGTGGGCTCCTAGTCTTGAGATTGTGGAGGGGGTTATGGTCCCATGGATGGATATTCTCCTCACAAGTCCACCTGATGAGCTTTTGCACTGTAATGGTGTGCTTGAGCAGCAGCCATCTATCATCAGAAATGACCCCTGTTTATGTGGTGAGGTTTGATATAGTGCCTCCACAGGGAGGAGCAAATGAGGGTGGAGACACACACACACACACACACACACACACAGAAGTGGTGAGGTTTGGTTTAGTGTCTCCATGCGGCGGGGCAAATAGGAGTGTGGAGAGAGAGAAAGAGAGATGAAGGGGGGG